TATACCTGAAATAGCCTTACAAAAAATTGTCTGCAATATTACTGATATTGTTGATTTTCAATCGATGCAACTGTTATGTAGACGATGGTATTTGACCTTAAATGAAGATCTCTTCTGGCGAGATTTCTACATGTTTCATTATGGAAAAACATCTGTTGACATAGATGATGTAATTAGTTGGAAACAATGTATTTTATCAAACTGCATGAACCAAGTCACCAGGATGAAAAAGAATTCACAGATCTAATGAATGAATCGCTTCAATTAATACAAACGAAAGTGACTGACATTGTTCAATTGTGGGAAAATTTGATACATGAATATCAACCAATCGAATCTGCTCTCATATCAAAATTGACTTACATTTTATTCAATGTTTTTTATTATCACATGGAAAATACTTCGGCTGTTTACTTAGTGAAGTTGACTCTCATTGGACTAGAAGATACATGTTCACGATCAAATGTTTACGAGCACTAATGAATGTCGTTCATTAAAGGTTCTTGGTCCAAACTTACTTGGATTTAATCTATGCAAATATGGATATTGTTCAACACTTAACCAAATGCTTACTTCAACTTCGAGTAATCTATGTCCTCAATTTCCATTTGGGCTTCTTGTTTGTCTTTTTATCATGATGGTTCATCCAACTCATAGAGCACACTTCATTATATATCTAAAAAACCTCGAAACACACTGTCAAAACTTGTATCATCCGTGGGTTACTATATAATTGTCGACTAACAATCAATTTATAGATAAATAATCATGTTCATATCTTTTCATAAGTGAGAATTGTTCAGATCAGAAAGAAGTGTATTTTGCAAATTAAACATAGGCTTGTGTTGAATCTGTTTTGTTATATTCAAATAGTTTTATCAAGGTTTTGATTTGTTGTAACAATAAGCAATTTCTACTTTAGAATATTGGACGATTGTATCCTAAAGATTCTTTGGAAATGTTTAAAATTGCAGCGATTCTTTAGGAATTCGATCAAATCTTTGATGTTTCACTTGAAATCGATAGTGGTTCTTTTACCCCGAGAAATGTCTATCAACACTTGATTCTTATCTTCATTCAACGACTCTCGAACAGAGTTAATTTAAGTTATTTCTTAGTGCAATTAAGTCTCGATATCTGAAAATCTCTAAACATTTTGTTCAGTTTGTATAATTTCATTTTAACTGTTCTCAGTTTCAGATGAAATCATTAATCTAGAAATATTTCAATAGTCTGAGTTGTTTCCATCATTAGATTTGTGTGCGTGTGGATGAAGAGAAGACTCATACTTCATAACCACTCACATGTACACTATCGACACTGCAAGTAATTGTGAACTATTTAAAGATATCGAACTTTCTTGCTGAAAAATTACGTAGTATATTGATTGAGACAATGTAACAAAACTTATATCAGCTACTTGGAATAATCCATGTTTTCTTGAAATCCAAGTTTTTCAATTTTTTTCTTGCTTAAGTCGCCTTTCTGAGACTGCCTCCTTTTTTGTGATTGTTATTCAACAGTGAAGGATATTTTATATCATTTTTTTTTGTACAAAAAACAAGTTCAATGTGAACTAATCAAGAAAAAAATACAGACTTTTCAGTATTTTTTAAATAATAAAATCCGGAAGTTCGAAAAAGATCATCTACAATCGTAGTTGCACTCTACTGAATGAAATTTCGTACCTATTTCAAATTTCTATGCCATAATGCTATTAAATTATAAGAAACTAGACCATTCAATAGTGAAAAAATATCGATTCATATACTTTTACATATCCTTAAACTGTGATCCAACCAAAAAAATATTTCCAGAAAATCTACATGTTCAAACATATAATCGTTCGGTTTGCTTTAATAACTTAAATGGCCATGATATTTTCTCTAATATCGTTTGTTTCTATCTCTTCTAAATTCTTAAACAACTCAAATCAAAAAGTTGGATTTTAGTTGTACAAGATTTTTTTTTCTCTATCCTACCATATGTTCAGCACACGCAAACAGATTTATTGTTTTCAGTAGTATACTACTGAGTCGAAAACAGATAGGATGTAGACTACATTTATTAAAGCTATTTTCTTAGTGAAAAAGAAAAACAATTGTAAGAATTGGTTCCTATACTTGACACTCTTTGAAAGCATCTTTTTAATTGTAAAGTTGGACACAGAATTAGTAGAGACAAACAGAAAAAAAACATGCACTCGAAGTAAAGTTTTAAATACAAGAGGATATATACAAGAGAAATGAGTAGTGCCAAAACTAATAGAGGAAAGATTCCAGATTAAATTGTGCTTTATTCACGTATTCGTTAGACAAAACCATATATATAATATGTTCTGCTTGATAGAGACATTCAGAACACATAGATATTAGGACTTAATAAGAGTTTTCCTTAAAGATGTATAGATTCGTTGCAGTAATAAGTTGATTTATAAAAGATAGCTTTAATTGTCCCGAATCTCTTGAAAGAGAATGATTAACAAAATAAGATATTACGAAGTTTCGACAAAAATTTCAAATGGTTATAATTTGGATTATAACTAACGATCATTTTAATTGCATTAAGCCCTCCCCCTCCCCCTCAAAAATCGATCTCAGCCCAGGAACGTTCAAATGACATGAAATATTCAGGATATGGTGGGATTTGTGTGGGAAGGCTATGGTAAAATTTTCAGCTCGACACCATGATGTTTTGGCGAGATACCAGCCAAACAAGGGTCAAAAATAGTTCATTTGGCAAACAAAATTTCTCAGTCCAGGTCCGTGTGATGTATTTAAATTTTTTTTTGTTTGAAAAAAGCATATCAGGTTGCAGTACAGTACAGAGCCCTTTTTTAAATACTTACTTTTTTAGGGAAAAAAAGGGATCGAAAGTTCAATGACTAAAAAAACCCTTAAAAGATGGATGTCGAGTTATATAAGTGTCTGTATATGTAATTAAAAAAAGCCTAATTAAAAAAAAGCGCTCTGTACTGCACTGCGTCTTGACGCGCTCTTTCAAACAAAAAAAAATACAAATACATTGAATGAGTATCGACAGAGAATTTTGGTTAGCACGTTCGAGATATCATGAACCGTGAAAAAACGAAAAAGTTTTTTTGGTTTTTCAAAAAACCGCTGGTTTTTCAAATAGGGGTTGTCAGAAATCTTGAAAATTTTTTGGGAAAAATGAGATATCGAAGAGAAGTTTTTATCATTTATGAAAGAGCAAATGACGGGCTATCTCCCCATGTATTTATCTCAATTTTTACCAGTCTAACGAAAACTGACTTTTTTGAGGGGGATGCCTTAACTTTTTGGTGTTTTTAGTAGAGATAATTGAGTTGAAACAGTAATTACTTCGATTCTATTGAGTATTTTTAATAGAACTCTTTAAAGTACAAAAGACTTACTATTTATTGTTTATTTTCTGAGTGTTTTCTATGTTAACAGCTAGAAACAAAACACGAAAATTTCAATCGTTTTTATTGAACATATATTTATCAAGTATACAGGATTTTGAATTAAAAATATGTCTTTGAAAGTTTCATTATGAAGAAAATCAATCAAATGTTGACATTCTTATAATTTTCAATCAAAGTTGTAATTTTCGATGATAGTTATAATCTTGAATCTTATTTAGAAATAGTTCGATGATAGGCACTAATCCATAGAATTTTCAAGATTACTCAGCACTTCCAGTGAAAAAATAATAGTTGAGGTAAAAATTAGATTACAGATTTTTTCATTTATTACAAAGGAAAATCAATGTTTGATTATAATCATTTTTTTGATTTGATTATTACCCTAGTTTTCTTTAACATGGGTTGAGACAAATGAAAAACTATTAATGTAGACCACATTTTTCTTTGTTTTCGAATTATAAAGAAACAATAGTTGCATCTTCCTTGTTGGTTTTTTTTCGTTTCCTTTGATTTCTTTATTCTTTCATTTGTCGTCTTTTTGTTCGTCAATATGATAACTAGGAAGAATGAGCACAGCAGAACAATGTATGTAGTGACAAATTAATGATAGATATATAAGAATGAACTGAAAACAACTTAATATAGTTATTTCATATTTGAATAAAATATATGTGATTATAATGACTGAGAACGTTATATAAATTTCCTGACAACATAAATTGAACGTAATGACCATTTTAGAGAATAAGAAATAGAAGGGTAATTTCAATTTTTAAATATAATTGTCAACTGTTCACTTTTTACAGATCATCTCCTTGGATCATACAATAAAAAATATATTGTGTTACATTTGCATTCGCGTACATGAACATAAAGTTTTTGAAGTAAAAAAACAATGAAATACATATATTTTAATTAATTCTATTACACATTTGAATGAAGTCAACCTGATTAATATTTCAACTGCGTTAAATGCAATGAAAAAATCAAGAAGTTAGTTGAGTTAAAATGATTAGTACTTACAACTACGATTGATGGTTATAACTCGATTATCTTGTTCATGGAAAATTTTATCAATTATCACTCTACCAGTTATAACGACTACGCTACCACTTGCATTCATCTATACAATCAGTCACACTTACTTAGACATATACATCATACACTACATACGTTGGTATACGTACACTCCCACACACAACGATACTCATACCTCATATACTTGACGAGAAGAAAAAATAATGTTTTGTTTTAGTAAAATATCGATTTTTAAAATGCATCATGTGAAGGGAAAAATACCAATCTTTCCTTCCAATACGCCATTACTTACTTTTTTCAACTTATTGGGATGGTTCTTCATGCTTGATTGATTCCACTTCGAGTCAACAGCATTTTTTCCTCACCGCTTCTGTATAAATAATCAAAATACCAACGAATATAAACATAATTTGTTCTTTACTTCCACATATAGGTAAGGTCAATGCAGACAAGATGGCCTTGTGATGGTCCAATCAATGCAGCTCGATTACGTCGTCAACGACCGTTGCGGTTTTCTGCTAGAGAACTACCAGTTAAGATTGATCTTTCTTGATGGATGTCTCCTGTCGAGCAACTAGAAGAATTGGGTTCGTGGTATGTTTTTCCGTGTTTGGTCTGTTTGATTCTCTGAAAAGCGTTGGTTTTTCTTTGTAGTAGTGCCAATGCTGTAGCCGGTGTTCTAGAATATTTGATCAAACGTAAATATAATATTGATATGGATGTATCTCGTTTATTTATCTATTACAATGCTCGACGAATTGATTATCAGCATTCAAGTTTCGGAGATTCTGGAGCTACTCTAACAGGCGGTGTGAGAGCAGTACGTAAATATGGTGTTTGTGATGAAAAAATTTGGCCCTATGACATAAAATTAGTGAATAAACGACCGGGATCATATGCATATCGGGCAGCGCGTCGTTACACTGCCAGACCAGTTAGAGTTCCGATAAACTTGCCATCAATAAAAACATCGTTGGCTAATGGTCTACCGGTTACACTTAGTCTAATCTTGAGCGAGTCAGCAGATTCCGAGTCAAAGCAAAATGGAGGCTATATATCCATTCCTAATCTCTCAACTACAACCGTAAACAACTCGTCAATGCACTCCATCGTTATTTGTGGCTATGATGAAAGAACACAGCATTTCCTAGTACGCAATTCCTGGGGCGAACAATGGGTAAACCGATCTAAAACTATACTAAACTGATTTGAATAATGATTCTTTAGGGTATCGATGGCTATTGTTATATTCCATATCAATATTTATCTCATCGGCGACTTGTCAACATGGGGGACAGCGGATGGACCATCTCGGATATTCTTTATCGTACTCAACATTTGCCGGCCACGGGCATTATACATGTGCCTAGACATCTTCGAAATAAGAAGAATGCAAAGTCTGAATATCATGCGCCTGTTCAAAGCCGAAATGTATACTATCGTTCTTCTCGACAGACATAGATGAAGATACCTCTCGAGGTTCATCTTCATCGTATCAAAGACAATTATCAGCGGAAATAAAAGGATAATATTGTGAGGATGTAGGCCTAGGTTTGTGTCTGTTGGATGTACCTTCAATGTGTTTTGATGTATATGTCGAGGGTACGTATGAGTATGATTATTTGAGTAGATGGAGAAAAACACTGCACAGCACATATATGGACATTCACACCGACACTGACGTCGGCACACACCCACAGCACACTCTCATACGCACAAATCCTCAAAAAATTATAAAGTATCATTGTTCACAAATAAAAGTAGTATCGAAAGTAGAATAAAAAACATATTAAGAAGGGTCCTCCCTCAGACAAAGTCAGTTTTTGTCAAATTCATCAATTTTGTGATTTATAACTCGTTAGATAGAGCAATGTGTCTACTCTCGAATGCACTATAGTTGATTGATGTTATGACGAGCTTGAAGAATATTACATAAGTTTTTCTGAACCTACATATTGAAAAACAAATAAGGTTTTTCAAAACTTATTTTCCGTTTTTCTTAAAATCCGTTTTTTCGAGTATACTGTTTGCGCGGGCAAACCTTACTCAATAACGACTCGATATAGAAGTAATAATTATTTTTATTGCATAGAGGACAGTTAGGACTAGATCCTTACAGAGCCCGATTTTTGAATTACTCTATTGGCGAAAGAAATAACTCACACATCTCATTTTTATCAGCGTTTTTTTGGTCATGAGTTCGAGGATTTTTTGGAGAAGATTTTTTTATAAAACAAACAAAGGGAATTTCAAAAATTAGGTTCTGTGAGAATCTAGCGCCAAGGGTACTCTACAACTTAAAAACAGCCCCGCTATGTTAGCTCGTGTCCTGATTGTGAAAACGTTGCCTGCCTACAGGGTATTTTTGACCAATAAATGGACTATAACTCGTGAATAACTCGCAAATTTGAGGGGAATATTTTAACCATAATCTACTCTAGCCAAGGCTAACATTCTCTGAAATTTTGGTTAAATTCCATGGAAAAATACAAAAGTTCGTTTCTAAGGGAGGGGCCTCCTTAAATTAAAAAACTTTGATATTGACCAATATTTCTTAAATGATATGAGATAAAATAATAGGAAAAACTCGAAACATTTTCTCATGTTGAATTCTAAAATTAATATGTATTCGAGAATCAAAGATATTCGGTTAAAAATTGAATAACTCAAGAACAGTGTGTGTTAGCGATTTGTCCTTTTCACCATAGAAAGAGCACGACGAGGGACACTAATCTATATATGATACGATAAGATTCAGTAGTGATGAAGGTTAGAACAATATGAACCTTTGAAAAAAATAGCTTGAACTCACAGATCCATAGAATCATTCTTTTCTTCTTTTATATGGATTATAATGATGGCCAGCCACCTATCCATAGCACACAATATCCAGCTATCAATTATTTGATAGTCGAAAGCTTGAAGGTCAGCATGAAGAAGTTATGCAGTCCTTTATTGAAATATTCTAATAATGTGAAATTTCTCTTGAATAATATATACATACAGGTTATCAATTGTTCTAAAGCGAATGACAAGAGTCAATATGGATTGAAAAACAATCTAAAATGCGAAATATATCGTATTCGAGCACATCGATAACATTATTATATAATATTTATAGATTAGACTTTTCTGAACGATTATTAAAACTGGTTCATATTTTTTTTTTATTATTTTTTATTAAAAGAAGAAAAAAATGATTCCATGGATCCATGATTTCAATCTATTTTTTTCAACGGTTCATATTTTTCTAACCTTCATCACTATTGAAGCGCATTTTATCTTACATAGACAAGTGTCCCCGACTGTGCTATTTCTATTTTGAAAAGGACAAATCGCTAAGACATACTGTTCTTGAGTTATTCAATTTTTGATCGAGTATCTTTAATTTCCGAATAGACATTAGTTCATGTATTTTAATATATTATCGCATTGCTATGCGATTTCCAATTCCAATGACTTCAGACAATACACCTAACCAACTTATTCATTTATCTTTTTCAAGTTTTTTTCATATTACTATTAAAATTTCAATTAATTTGTTGTCTGAATGATTTTTCGATTTTTGTAGTTTAGTTCAAATTCTATTTCCTTGTATTCTCTTTGCTTTTCCATTAAAATATAAATAAGTATTTTTCTGTGGTATCCATTCTCGCATTTTAGAAGTAGTTTTAATTCATGTTCAACTAGTGATCTTTGTTTGCAAGCTATTTATTGCTATATGTCTATTTAAAAAACAAAGAAGGTTTGTTTTTTTTTCATCGAATTATTTTTAGGATATAGAAGATTACATACAGAGAATAATCGTTTCAATATTTTATGAATCTATCTCTGAGTTTTATGTGTTTTTACTTTAAGATTTTGTCTCAAAAAATAGTCCTTAAAAATTCTTCATAAAAATCTAATGAGAAAAAAAGCTTTTTTCAAAAGTAATTGAAGAACCATATATAGTCATTAGTACTATACTATAAAACAATGCATATTCGAAAGTCACAATTTTTTTTACAAAACTCCTTTATTTTCTTTTCATTTAATCAGTTTCAGACAATTAGAACATGGTTTAGATCATCAGTACATAAAGAAAGAAATTCTCGTCGAACTTTCTACGAGATATGTAATTACTTCAATTCTCTTGAACATTTTTAATAGAATTATTTAAAGTATAAAAGACTTGCTATTGATAGATTATTTTTTGAGTGTTTTCTATGTTAACAGCATAGGAAGGCAACGTGAAAAATATAATCATTTTTATTGATCATTTATTTATCAAACATACAAGGTTTTGAATTAAAAGTATATCTTTGAAAGTTTCATTATGAAGTAAATCAGTCCAATGTCGATATTCTTATAATTTTCAATCAACGTTATAACTTTCAATCATACTTATAACCTTGAATCTTATTTAGAAATAGTTCGATGATAGGCATTAATCAATAGAATTTTCAAGATTACTCAAAAATTCTAATATAAAACATCGATGTTTAATTATTTTCTAAATGTTTATCATCAAAATGAGCTGAAAAAAATCACAACTTCATTTTTCTAATTAATTTCGATAATAATTGATGCAAACCAAAGTAAGTCGATTAAAGCTTTGTTTTTTTATTTATCACAAAGAAAAATTGATTACAATGTATATGTGTTTTGCAAAAATTTTAATCAATTATAATCGAAATTGATTGAAAGATTCAATCAGCTTTTGATTTTTTTGTTATAATCATTTTTAAATCTAATTATTATCCTAGGCTTTTTCTTACATGCATTCAGACAAATGAAAACTATTAGTCATATTCATATCTAAATAAGCTGCACTCACAACAAACATTAAGAAGCCACCATCCACTTGTCCTTTATGAATAATGTAGCAAGTATTTTTCTTTGCCTTTAACTTATAAAGAAACCATGTTGGCATCTTCTCTTCTTTTTAGTTATATGTGATTATACTGATGGGGAGTGTTAACTAAATTTCCTCATCATATAAATTGAAAATAATTACCATTTAAGATATATAGAAGTAGAGTAGATATTAGTTTCACTTTATAAATACAATTCTCAGTTGTTCACTTTTTAAAGATTATCATTAATCATACAACAACAAAAAAAATATTGTGTTACACCTGCACTCACGCTCGATAGAGAAGTACAAGAAACGTAACATGTAAATGAATACATGAAAAATCACTCAAAAACTAATCTATAGATAGTAGTGCTTAACATAATGTATGTATTTTAATTTATTCGATCAAATGTATCAGTTAAACCCATTTAATTAGGAGTTCCGCTTAGTAAAAATCTACTTAGGAAACCGAAAAGTTAATTAAAATAGTTGATAGCCAAAAGTGCAGTTAATGATTGTATCTCAATCAATTTTTTGATTGAAAATTTGATTAGTTCTAAATCTAAAGTGATTAGTTAACCAGTTTTAACTTCTACACTGTGGCCCACACACACACTTAGACTTACAAACTCTACATCACATACACAACGATCTTCACATTCCACACTCTCGTCGACGAGAAAAATGACATCTTGCTGTAGTATAGCATTGATTTTTGATATGAATCATTTGAGTAGAAAAATACCAACCTTTTCAATCGATACAATATCAACTTTTTTTTTCACTTTATTTGAATGACTCTTCATGCTTGATCGATTTCATTTCGAGTCGAAAATGTTTTTTTCTTTGCCGTTTCTGTATAAATGATAAAAATATCGACGAACATCAACATAATTTACCGTTTCTCTTCATATATAGATGACTTCAATGCAGACAAGAGAGTCACGTTATTATCCAATCGATGCAGCTCAATCAGTTCCTCCAAGATCCTTGCGTTTTCGTTCTGGACCACTACCACATAAGATCGACCTTCGTCCATGGATGTCTCAGATTGAGCAACAAGGCGACATTGGTTCGTGGTATGTACTTTCATGTGTGGTCTATTTCATTCTTAAAAAAAAAGTTGTTTTGTTTTCTTTTGCAGTAGTGCCAATGCTTTAGCCGGTGTTCTAGAATATTTGATCAAACGTAAATATAATATTGATATGGATGTATCTCGTTTATTTATCTATTACAATTCTCGACGAATTGATTTTCAACATTCAATATTAACAGATACTGGAGCCACTCTAACAACCAGTGCCAAAGCAGTACGTAAATACGGTGCTTGTGATGAAAAATTTTGGCCATATGATATAAGCTTAGTGAATAAACGGCCGACACCAAACGCATATCGAGCAGCACATCGTTTCACTGCCAGACCAGTTAAAATTCCAATAAACTTGCCATCAATAAAAGCATCATTGGCTAATGGTCTACCGATTGCGATTAGTATAATTTTGCGCAATTCAGCAGGTACTGAGGTGAAGAAAAATGAGGGCTATATATCCATTCCCAATCCCTCATGTACAACAATAAGAAATTCGGAATGGTACTCCGTTGTTATTAGTGGCTATGATGAAAGAACACAGCATTTTCTAGTACGTAATTCCCGGGGCGAACAATGGGTAAGCAGATATAAAACTACATCTAAAATAATTTCAATCATGTTTCTCTGGGGTCTCAAAGGCTATTTTTATATTCCATATCAGTATCTATCTATACGATCACTCGTTTACATGGATGACAACGCATGGACCATCAAAGATATCCTTTACCGCACTCAACATTTGCCGACCATGCTTGTTTTACGTTCAGCCAGACACCGTCGACACAGGAAATATCTACACACTGCATATGATTCGCATCAACAAAGACGAAACGTACACTAAGGTCTGAGGTGTATGAGATTGGGCCGACGAAAGAAGTTCAACCACTATCCAATCGGTTTTTAGTCGAGGTCATGTGCAATGTATAGACCTAAATAAACTATGAATATTTTGAAAAGAATTCATGCCCTCAGTTGATTGCTACGAAGTTGCTGCACTGTTACGGCATCGTTCTAATAAATACTGCGGCCCGTCTCAGGAACACCAGAAAAATTGATTTTCGAGTTTCGACTCGAAATCTTGTCAAGAGACAGACCTTAACAGGAATACTTTATTGTCAAATTTTCAGATTCTATCACTGTTCCTATCTGAAGATACAACTTTGGTAATAGTGTGTCTTCCACATTACCCATATAAAACACTGTATTCGCTGTTATCATTCAAGGATAGAAGCAAGTCAAAAGATATGAAACTGCTATAATAAATTATTCTCCTTAAGGTCTCCCTTTTAGTAAAATTTCGAGTCTAAATTTGAGAATCAATTTTCTGTTGCTCCCCAAGGGAACCATGGCGTTTATTTAAAAAATATTGTTAAAGTACAGTAACTACATAGTAATAAGCTAAAGTCATGAACTCTTTTCCGAGTATTCAAAGCTCATTTAGGCTTACATAATTTATATGGTCTTGACTGAAAAGCGATTGAACAGCTGCTGGACGTACCTCGTTATTTCTGGGTGTATGTTCGCGTAGAATGAGGATGTGTGACTATGAGTGTATACCCATAGCACTCACTCATACGCAAAAATCCTAAAGAAAAATTGTAAAGTATAATTGTTCAAAAAATAAAAGTTGTGCTTAAAGTGAAATAAAATAATATATTAAATTAAAAAGTTTTGACATCGATCAATATTTCTTAAAAAGTCTAAGATAAAACAATGCAAAAAAACAATCGCAACAGTTTCTCATGTTGAATTATAAAACTAGTTCATGTATTTTAATAATTTCTCGCACTGTTAAATGATTTACAATTCGAATAACTTCAGACGACATGCATCGCTTATTTTGTATGTATATATTATTTTTTCATATGTGAAACATATGTATGTTGTCGGTTACTTTTTTTTATGTTAATTATGATATTTCGAATAAAAAAGACTTTTTCTAAACTTAGTCCGTAAAGTTCTCTATAAAGTCTTGTGAAAAGAGTTTTATAATTGGAAAATGATTTGTGCTTTCAACAATATTATACTTCAAAAAAAATTTGTAGTAAAAGGCACATCGTAGTTTTCTTTTTTATAAAATTTATCGTTTCTCTTCTTCTGACTAAAGATGCTTCAGAGCATTCTAAAAAGACGTTTTTTATGTTTTTCAAATGTACTCATTCTATAAACAAGATCATTAAAACATGAATGAAGAAAAACATTCAAAAAAAGTGTTCTATTCAGATAGACTTACAATCTGATAACAAAAGATATTTTGCACAATTCACTGAGTTTCTCTTAGGTTACAAAGGGCTATATTCATTTGTTTTTTTTTGTAATGTGATCAAAGAGAAACACAGTATGATAAAAGCTTTAAACAGTATCTTGAAAGTAGACTTCTTGAGAATTTAGCACTGTTGACCAAGCAAGTTTTTCTAGTTATTCTTTTAAAAGACTGTCTTGTGACAAATTTTGTAGAGAATTTCAAGAATTATATTTTGAGAAAAGAACTCAAGTCGAAATATCTAAAATTGAGCGAAAGTCCTTGAATATGCTTTCCTCTTCCCCCATTGTTATATGGTTAATAGCAAGTGTTTTGCAATTTATATATAAAAATATGTTATAGAGTAATGCATGCATGATTTAGTCCCTCAACTTTGCTTTTTATTTGTATTATATTAATACATCTGTTTTCAATAGAATAATCGCAAGCTCTGTTTGATTAGAACATCGCCTCAACAGATTATTATATCATCATATAAAGATAGATATTCATTTTATCTAACAAATCGTCGTATAAATAAATACTTTAGATATGATACATAATTGCAAAGAAGCAAAAAAACAAAGAATAAAATACTACAATCGGATTGAATCATTTCAATATAAAATAAAATCTAATGAAAATAAGTCACTAGATGAATATCAAGTTCATCATCTATGTTGTCTCAATGAGAACAATTAATAATTGAATGTACGTTTCAATTATATTATAGAATCAGCATTCTAACATTAATAATGAAGAAAATCATATTGTGAGTCAGAAGCAAAACTAATATATCAATAATATTAGAAGTCAGTTTGATTTAATAGATGTTATTATTCATATGTATTACCCATGGCGCATGTCTACTCAGACTATTAGTACTATATAGCAGTACTCATAAGAACAGGTATGATAACGCTTTCAACTTTCCTGTTTCAGCTATAAACAATTGCAGAGAGTATTTTCTATACAAATTCGAATGAATTATTAGAAGAAGTGCGAATAAATCGAAAAGAAAGCTATTTCAAAATATTTTTTTACTTATCAAAAAAAAATTTTGCGACGTCATCTATGATACAAATTTATCTGATAATTGAGACCGATTTCGATTCTGTAAGTAGTACAGGCAGCTCAAATGTATCAAATATTACACGAAAAAATCGCAAATGTTTTTATGGTATCAGTTTAAATAAATTTCAAAAATATTCATCTGTTTGATACAATACATTACGAAGTAAGACTTTCAACATATAACACCGGTCTAGTAAACATTACAGTAATTAATAAAACGACGGTAGTTGCTCAATAGTTATTACATGTGTATATATTATCTCCTTTATTCAAAATGTTGAAAAGAAGAATCATTGACTCCAGAATAGAAAAAAGGAACTTGATGATGTTCTTATAACATTAACTATTCTTTAGAAATTATAAACATATGATTGATAGGTGTCAAATAATTGATTAAATAATAGTAATGATGTTTTTTTGAGCTATTGTGAAATAACTATCTTAATGATGATTCATAAGTAACTACCTTTTTCTCATAAAATACACCTCTATTCAATGAAAAAATTTAGTAGGCAGTACGATAGTTATATTATATGACTCATACTTTTTTTTCTGTTCTCTTTAATAATATACTTTTTTCCAACTCCTTTTCCCCGCTCAATTGACGAAAACGTGTTCTTTATTGATAGTAGTTGATGGGAAAAAACCCAGTCATACATATTTTTCTCTCATTTTTTTGTGTGTCTTACATTGGTATTTAAATATAAAACGGCATACTTCGATTTAAAAGATGACAACAGAAGAATTCTTCGACTTAAATCAACAATTTTCTAAAGATATAATGTATTCGACAATAGAAGAAGAAAAAGAACGTCAATACATCGAAGATTTTGTAGCTTATCTAAAGAAGGATTTAGAACAGTTCACAGTTGTATCGGCTTCTACTTTAAAGTATATTTTTTTATGTGCAACTTTTTATTTCTATATTAATATTTATTTTTGAAGTGTCACTCATGATCAACATGTAAACCACGTGTTAAATATTATGACAACAAATAATAATCAAAAAATACAACAAAATATAGATTATACCAAAAAATTCATAAATCAACAACAATTTGAATTATTCAATAGAAATAATTTGTCAATAAGTTCAAATTCTATTGATATGGATATAGATAATAACGATAAAGATTCTGAACAAATATCGTCAAGTGTTGATGCAATAACAAGCATGAAACATACTTTTGATAGTATAAATACAAATAATAGTAAGTTATTTTTAAAAACAAGTTCACATTATCTGATATTTTATGTAATAATTTTAATTAAAATATAAGATGCAACTCAACAGTTGTTGACAACAGGTATTTATACGTCATTCTTTTTCTTTTACTTTATTTATTCATCCCAAAAAAAAAAAAAACGAAAAACCAATAGTTTTGAGATTAAACATATAACTAGATGGCATTGTCATTCATGTATATTTTTGTTATTTAGTTATATAATATAACATTTTAAATATTTTTTTGTTAATCATTTTTTTTTGAAATATACATTTATAGCCATAATTATTATTTGTCAACGAATACAGTTAGTGAATCTTTATATAATTAATATGTGAAATACAATAAAACTTTTTTTTTTTTTTTACTATTTAGAAAATGTTTTTTCCAATGTATGATTAATTGTAATGTATTAATGAATAGAAATCTCTATCACAATTTTAAACGAAGAAAGTTTCTATTGTTTTGTTATCGAATGCAATAGTAATTTTATTTAAGAAAAAAAAAATTTGCACAAGGTAACATGTTTGGTCTTGCGTTTAGACTTGTTCAAATCTCCTCTTAAAGATGCATTTGTTATCGGATGGCCTCTCTGAAGATATTAGATGTTTTTTCCGGTTTATTTTTGTATTCGGTGACTAGTTTTCCCTATACATTTCTCAGATCTGGTTGCATAGACTATGACAGAGATCTTAACAAAGTCCTGGCTTTTCGTTACAGATCATCACAGACGTTATTGATTTATGATCTTAGACCGTACACCAATAACATCTCGTTATAATATAGATACACTACTATAATAAACAACAGCAGCTACAATGTGTTTCACATTTTAATTCTATGGATATTACGCTAACAGTTATTTTTTTTATTGGAAAGAGCATGTTAGACAACAGAGCCCTTTTTTTTCAAAAGTCCTACGTTTAATGTGGAGAAATGGGAGGATAAGTTCATTACTTCGAAAAATAACCATCTATTTATATGAGTATCTGTTCGTATAGTATAATTAAAAAGTTTAATTTAAAAAACGAGCACTGTTGATTGAATGCTTTTTCGAACACAAAAAAAAACCGAATGGTAACAGTGACGCTTCTTTGAAGATTCTGAGATACGCAAGTAAAAAAGCATATATTTTATGCAGAAATTGATGGGAATCATTTAACATTTTAGAAGAGAACAAGGTGAAAAATAAAAAAATCGTATCGTTTATGACATATCAAACTTAAAGCTATGTTTTTATGGATTTTCTTAATATCGATTTTTCTAATCGAAAATTAACAGTTCTTGCAGAAGATGAGAGGTTTCACAGCGAGCTCAAATTATTTTCTTTATCAATATTTCTACTAAGATAAGTTTTGTTTCGATTGGAAATAAGAATTTTTCCGTTCATGTCTGCCGTTTCCGACTGAAGAACTTGAGAAGCTAGTCGATATTGATCATCAAATTTCTACTTTCAAGTTTTTATCATTTCTTCGAATTTTTGTTGTTGAAAACAACGTCTTTCCGACAGTAACGGACATTGGTGCAGGAATCATTGATCTATAAAAGTCTATTAAATTTCTATGAAGGATTCTTTTTTGTTATTAAAATATTATAATTTAGCAAATCTTTATTTGCTTGTGTTATATTTTTTTATTTGTTATGCATCCTTATATGTGATAAAATATTATATATAGGTGAACAACAAATGACTGCACTCGATTATTGTCGTTGGATGTTGACAAAATTAAATTTGGCTATTACCGCACTAGAACCAGTCTTAGTAAATTTGGGTATTTCTACTGAAATTGCCGGTTTGTATTAAAATCAATATAAGTAAATAAAACACTTACGAATTGTATCATATTCATTCTAGATTCTTATTTAAAAACACTTGAAATTCCTTCACCTGAAGATATTCATATAACTGCTCAAGAACCATTACAAATATTATCGAATTTGTTTCAAATGTCAATTAATATATTGCCATCTTTTCGTCAAATAAACAATGTTGATGATTTTAATAATACAATTCCTATAGGACAAGAATTAAATGAAACACCTGAAAGAACAATTGGAGGTATGTGCTATTTTTTTTTTTAATTTTTCTTCGCTCTAATCATTGAGTGTATTATTAAATATATAGCACCAAGTGAACAAAATGAATGTCATTTGAATGGAGAAATTCAAGCAATAATACCATCGAATTTACCAAGATTTTTTAATTCGAAAGATACTTGTCTAACAATATCTTTATCAGAATTATTATTACAAGCTCAAAAATATGTTCAAGAAATAGAATTAGCCGAACTTAAAATATATGAACAACCACAAGAATTTTGGAAAAAACGTTCAATTAATTGTTTAAAAAATAAATGGTGTCCAGCTATTCATGGACGAAGTGGTAAACAACGACATTATATTGGTATAAAAGTAAGCTTAAAAATTAATTATTTGATCAATCTGTATATATATGTATATATCATTTATAATCTAGTGGTCAAAATTTATCGATTCTAATCCAAATAATTTATTTGTTTTTGTTCAATTACTTTCATATGATAATCAATCACATTTATCAAAAGTTTTAGTACCACCAGAAACAACAGTTAAACAAATAAAATCATCAGAAAAAAAACAACAAAGAAATAATAGACGTCAAACACTTAGTGATTTGATTATCAAAGATATATATGGTTTTGATAGAACAACAAATACAATCCTTTGTCCTATAACTGAAGATGAATATCGTCGATGTCAAAAAAAGTAAAGTATATTTATATGAATAAATTTCATCATAGATAAAAAGTTTTCTTTTTCTTTTTCTTTTTTTTTTCTTTAGTTTAAAAGTACTCATGTTCAGTTTATATAAAACAAGTGAAGAAATTGAAAATTTAAATTCTATACAAGATTTAAATGATAATCAAACAGTAAACAAAGATGAAGATAATGAAATATTTGCAGATGAAGACGAAGATAGTTCTATGGAAAATCAATTACTTAAATTATGTAAACTTCGTATTCGTCTTTGTCGACGAACAGATGAAAATACATTAGAATATATATCCAATTTCATCGATACTGAATGGATCGAAGAAAGTAAGTCTTTTATGATATATATATAAGGTGTCTCAGATATGTAAGCTGTAAACGGTACGGATTTTAGACAGATCGGTCCCCCAGTAGACCGATTACTGTCGGTATGCTTATTTAGTTATTTTACTCGGATTATATCATAGAGAATATGTAATCTAACTTCGTTAATAGTTGATTATGTCATATATTACTATACAATTTTGATCGATCGAGTTAATTTTTTTCTCAGTAATTAAGATCTCAACTAGACTAGCTTATGTACAAAATTTTTTCGATATAGTTTCTTCGGATTATGAATTTTTTAAAAACTCTATATTTCATACAATATCAGTAAAAAAGAATAAGCCTAGTTGTTGAAAAACTCATATCTCTGAGAAAGTACATGAAAAAATTTTTGTATAGAAACTGATCTATTTGATATATTGATTTGAAGTTTTATTAAAAATTTACGGTTCATGAGAAGAAAATTTAATATCTCGATAAAATCAATGAATTCTTTCGAAATTGTTAGAATTATATATGTCCTTTATACTAAGTAAAATACGCACTGAAAAGTTTTTACTCATTTGGATATTCTTCGAAGGTAGTATTTTTTAATAAAACTGAAAAAAAGAAGCTTTGTAGTCTTCTTTACCACTAACGAGGGAAGCTCCCCAACTGACGGACGCCGTTCAACTCCGTATTATGGCTACAAGGTAGGTCTCTATGAGACTAAGAAAACCTTAAAACGATTCATGCCCATGACCTATCGATGAAGAGTTATGACCGTTTTACTGAATTTTGGACATGCGACAAGGGATTTCCAAAAAAATCGAATTAAAGAATTTCGACCTGAAAATTTGCCCATAGGTTAGGTCTAATGGTCATTAAAATTGCTTGAAAGTTTCAGCCAAAGCGAATGTTCTTTTCTCGAGATATTGAATGGTCAAGTAAACTCGGTTTTTGTGACCTGTCTGTGAAAACTGACTATTTTTTGACCATTCAATATCTTGAGAAAGAACATTCGTTTTGGCTGAAACTTTCAAGCAATTCTAATCACTATGAGACCTAACCTACGGGCAAATTTTCAGGTCGAAATTCTTTAATTCGATTTTTTGGAAATCCCTTGTCGCATGTCCAAAATTCAATAAAACGGTCATAACTCTTCACCGATAGGCCATGGGCACGAATCCTTTTAAGGTTTTCTTAGCCTCATAGATACCTACCTTGTAGCCATAATATGGAGTTGAACGACGTCCGTCAGTTGGGGACCTTCCCTCGTAAGATAATAATTAGCTCGATTAATTAAAGTATAACACAAATATTCAAATCTTTTTTTTTTGCATCGTGATTTTAGGTATCATCTATACTGATAATACTTTTTTCAAAAACAAAAATTCTAAATTTCGATTTCTTTTACAGGTAAAGGTAATGAACCATTAGCTATTGATCCATCAAAAGTAACTCCAAAATATCTTTGTAAATGTGGTAATGAAATAATTAAAGTACCATTAAATACGGATAGTGAAAAAAATGGTAAATAATTCTTTGATATTCATTACTATTTATATTTAATAATAATATTTATTAAGGTTTTGTTGTACGTTTAAATAATGCAGAATTAGATTCTTCTCTAATTCATGGAGTTAAAGATAAACAAATATTTTTTAAATCACTTCCAAATAAAATACCTAAACAAAATTCTCTACATGTAATGGTATCAAAAAAAAGTGTTTCAAAAACAATTAAATTAAAACATAATCCATATGATGGTCTTGATGAAAATACTCTTTTAAATTTTTGTATAAATTATGTGGAAAATAGTAAATATAAACGATTTCTTGTTTTCAAATAAAATACAAACAATACATCTATTTTTTTTTGATATATTTTAGGTGATAATCCACATAATCATAAAAATGACCGATACAAAATTTCAATGCAAAAAAATGAAATCAATCGAATCAATACATAACTTTACTTGAAAAAAAAAAATTTTTTTGCTGTTGTTGTATATTTGTCTCATGTGAAAATAATATGTTCGTGTTTAGTCTTCTCAATATTAATGATTATTGAATCCGGTGTTTTTATTTTAAGAGCATATAAAACAAAAAGTCTTTTTTAAAATATAATATATTTCCTGGATTAAAAAGATGACTCGAAATATACCGAGTAAAATAGCTTCATTGAATCAAGAATAATTGTGACTATTAGAATAAACTTTTGGTTTTTAAACAAATCAAATACTTATTTAGATTTAATCATATGATATATGAGAGATTTTCAAAAATTCTACTCTTGATGTATATTAAAATATGTAAAGATCAAAGTGGAACTATTAACATTCATCTAATTTATTTAATATGATGAGCAACATTTGTTGAATTAAAAAATGAATCTAGTAGAGTAAATTTATCGGGCGATATTGAAACAATATCATCTTGTTTTACATTTTTATTAATGAATATTCCATGAAAGTTTGTCCTAAAAACTATTATTTAGCAGTTAGATTAGTAACAATATCAGAAAAGTTCACTAGCCCTCCGTCCTGCTTAAAATGTGTTGAGTTCCTCATCACATTTCTTCTGGTTACTCCAATGACGATGAAATATTTCTAAGTGTATGTCTTCGTCTTCAGTTGACTTTACGCTGGTTTGTAGAACGCGATGAGCTGATTTCGATGACAAAAAAAGCGTTCTTCTCCGTAGATTATTATTTCGGAAATTTTAATTTTTATGCTAGTGTTGCTCTTACCATTGAGAATTTTAACATAGAATGCGTCTTAATGGACGGTACAAATCAATACAATCAACATAAATAGAAATCATAACATCGTCTATACTTTTCAATACCATTAATATGATAGCTGTACGGAATTGAATGACACACATAGTTACGATTTCTATTTATGTTGATGGGTCAAGTCAATTAAGACGCTTGTAGCATTGAAGTTTTCAATATTGACAACAAAACTAACATCTTTCAGTCGTTTTTCTGATATCGATACAGTTAATAACAAAGAACGATTTATATCATTGCAATCAGTTTGTTGAGCTCTTTAAACTAGCATGCAGCCAGTATAAAATAAAAACTCACACTTGCGAACCTTCGTTTGTAAGTTAGATGTTTATTATTATCAATAGAATAGGATTCATTGCTAAAGAACGTCTAAGTGAATGAGGAAAAGTAACAAGCATTTATGAACATTCAAACATTGATTATTTATATTCATTTATTTATTCACTAAGTGTTCAAAAGAAGGTAAAAGAATCAATATAGCCGGACCGTAGAATCACATCCTATATTTCTTACAATAGTACTTAATTGAATTTCTAAAGAAATCCTAAGAAAACATCTAATCAACTGGATAGAAGTGCACAGAAAGTTCGGTCATAAAAATGCAATTTTTACCTGAATGTCCTTTACTTTATGAAGGACTTTATAGACTAAAGAATAGCGACATCTAACATGAACACAAAAAAGAATAGAGGAAATCGCTCATTAAATATGAGATTTTCGTTCATAACTCAACTCGTTCTCCATCATCAATTCTTGTCATTTAATTTATTGTTCATTCGCACGTACTACAACGACTCATCGTCACTGAATAGTCATCTTAACCTTTTTTCGTTCGCGTTAACTGAACAAACAAACCATCTTCAACTCTTATATGTGTGTGTGTGTATCTACCTTTTCTCTTCTTTTTTTCATCATTTTCATCTTGTTGAATTAGTCGTTAAATTAAATAGGAGTACACAGATATCTTTGTTATCGGTTTCTTTTTTAGACAATGTCTTCAACAAATGGTAGTAATGATTTACGAGTGACAATTGCATTATCCGAACGTGATGCTATTAAACTTATTCTTGATTTTCTTCAACAACGTGAACTTTATATTAGTATGCTTGATATAGAACGTGAAACAGGTATATTTTATAAATTATAGTTTAAAACGATAGCTAGATTTTTTTTTTTTGCTTTTTTTTATAGGTATTATTAATGGTTCTTATTCAGAAGATATACTTTTTTTACGACAACTTATTTTGGATGGACAATGGGATGATGTTATTGATTTTATTCAACCATTAAAAACAATTGATTCATTTGATACTAAACAATTTATGTATATTGTATTAAAATATCAATTTTTAGAATTATTATGTTTAAAAACTGAAGCACAAGTTGAAAATGAATCAGCAGTTGAACAAATAGTGAAGTAAATTAAATTAAATTATATTAATAAATATAATAAATAAAAATATGATTTTAATTTAGATTTCTTAATGATTTACGTCCATATGTATCAGATGAACAAGAATATAAGAAATTATCTTTTTTACTTACACTTAAACGTTTACAAGATCATACAGATTATAATAATTGGAATCCAAGTGCTGGACGTGTACAATGTTTTCATGAAATTTTTCCACTTATTCATCGTTTTTTACGAGTAAGTTTATTGTATAAACAATAAATAACATATAGAAATTCTTGAAAAGTTCATATTAATTATTAAAGAGAGAGAGAGAGATCAAGAATTTTCAATAGAGATAATTGTATCTATTTACTTAAATAATCCAAATGTTATGCTTTATATATAGACTGTCGTTAATCTTTCATTTCTAGGTAGATAAACAAACAATTCCAACAGCTCAAAGTGATCGTCTAATTCAATTACTTATAAAAGGTCTTCTGTATGAATCATGTGTTGAACATTGTCAAGCACGTGCAACAAGTACAGATGAAACAATTGATTTAACAAATCCAAATAGTTTATTATTAAATACACGTTTATCAGATACAGATGTATCACTTCTATCATGGTTACATGCATTACCAACAGATATATTTTCATGTCCATTTGAACAAAAATCATTAAAAGTAAATATTGATAAATTACAAAAACCTATACTTGAAGCAACATGGGCTGAACATGTTTTAACTACACCATTTAAACCTCAAACAATGTTTCCATTTAATGCTACACCAACAAGTAAACCACGTTCAACAGAATTAATGTCACGTTCATTAGCACCACAATATGATGGTTTATCATATGGTCTTATACGTTCACAAATATTAGGAGATCATAATCGTAATTTAGTTAATGATATGAGTCGTTCATTAGCTATATGTAATTTAAAAGATAATACAATACCAACAACAACAATATTACCAACAGTTGAAGAAGTTCTTTATGAAGAAACACCACCACCATTAACACCACCACCACCATTTACACCACCACCACCGCCATTAACGCCACCACGTACATTATCACCAATAAGAAATAAAATATCACCACAAAATTCTCAACGTTCACAATCACCTTTACGACGTAATCCAACAACAACATTATCAAATAAACAAATAAATGGTACAATCATAAATGAAAATAGTAATCCATCATCAAATATTGATTCATCAGCAGATCGTTTTCTTAAAGTAAAACAAAACACAAAACAATAACCTATATTACATTTTATTATTTATTATATATTAAGGATTATCAAAAAGGTCGAACAGAAATTTTAAAACATTTTGATGAATATGAATTTGAAAATAATGAATTACAAAAACATTTTAGTAAGAATAATAATAATAATAATAACAAATAAATTAATATTTATTCTTTAGTAACAAATTCAAATATACGTTCTATGAATAATACAACTAAATTTGATTCACTTGAAGTAATCTTTGTTTCATTTAAAAAATTAATTCATTTTTTTTAAATTTTGTTTAGGATATAACACGTTCACCAGCATTTATACCATTAGTATCTATTGAAGATGTTCAAGCAATTCGTTCTGTTGATATACATCCAAGTGGTAAATATTTTGCTGTTGGTTCAAATTCTAAAATGCTTCGTGTTTGTGCATATCCTGATATAAAAAATATACGTACAGATTCAATACCAAATATAGCTAAAGTTTTATTTCAAAAAGGTAAACATCATCTAGGAAGTATTTATTGTATGGGATGGTCACCAAGTGGAAAACTTATTGCAACTGGATCAAATGATAAACTTATTAAAATTTTAAGACTTGATATGGATAGACCAGATGATCATTCAAATAGTATGAAATAAAAGCAAAAAGAAAATTAAGATTTCATTTTTTTTTGTGTTTCTTATTATAGATACTGAAATTGAATTAACACATCATAATGGCACAATTCGAGATCTTATTTTTATGCATGATTATTTAAAAGATGATTCTATTTTATTAAGTGGTGGTGCTGGTGATTGTAAAGTTTATGCTACTGATATTAAAAAACAAACACCTATTAAAGGTTATGATGGTCATCAAGGTAAGATACTATTAAATTATTAGAAATATTTATATATAAAAACAAATTCAACGAACAGAATGTATCACATATTCAGAAAACTGAGAATGTAGTCTATGTGATAATATAGTTTTTGTTGCTTACTACTTTCATAAAAAGTTGTTAAACGATTCAATCTTATTAAAAGAGGATTAACACACGTTCAACTGGTGTTAATGTAGCAGGAACATGTATGATTTTTCTAGCAAGTTTATTAAGAGATTGATATGAATTTTTCATTGGTTAAAATTCTTTTCTGTAGGTTCTTCGAAAACTGATTTTAATACTGAATTATTAACTTACGATTTTTTTTCAATGAATGACTCTAGACAATAGTATTCAGCTTTTGATTCGACTAGGACTTATGCAAGTCTAATCGAGATCTCTTCTAAAGAATAGTTGAATAGAATTTTAGATCTCCGCTTTAGAAGAAAAAGTCTAAATAAAAATCTGAAAATGAATATTATTGTTCAATAATATTTGATCATTATTGAAAAAGGAATTTATCTACTTATTTCTATGCAATTGTTTTTCGTATGAATCATGCCGAACAGATATGAGATCATTCACAATAAATGAATCATTTCGTTTAATATTATCTTGATAATTAATATTGTTTGTTTTGTTTTTTTACGAGAGAATATATTGTGAAGTTTTCTAGAACAAGAATATAAAGGACAAACAACCGTAAAAACTAAATGATGAATACTAATATTGAATTTTTTTTAAAGTATTAACGTTCATTTTTTGAATAACTTTTCAACGGCTTAAGCTATAGAGGTCGAGTTTTCACTGTTAGAAAGAGCAATGCGAAGGACATTGATCTATATAAAATTCATTAGGTTCAAGGCCTTTTTCGGTGGTTGTTTTCAGACAGATATCTTTTTTGATGTCTATTTTCATGAGTTTTCGTGACAAGTTAACATCAAAGGAAGATTTGGGCTTCATTTTGGTCAAGTTTGATGTTAACTTGTCATGTTAAAAAAGATAACTATCGAAAAGACCCTTGAACCTAATGAATTTTATACCGATCAATGTCCCTCGCATTGCTCTTTCTAACGGTGAAAACCCGACTTCTATAGCTCGAGTCGTTAAAAAGTTATTCAAAATATGATCGTTAGTACTTTTAAAAAAATCCGACATTAGTCTTAGTATTTTTTTTTCTTGATATGTTTTATAAGTTTTTATCATTCTGTCTTGAACGCTTTTCTTTTGAAAAGATTTATTGAAGACTTCGAAGTAAAACCTTATATGTTTCTTTTAGAAACTATACATTCTTCTTTCATTGAATGTAGGTTATACGATAGAAGAAAGTATAACTTTTAAAGAAAAAATATCATATTGTGAAGAATTTTTTGGTGAATCTTTATATGAAAGTTCAACATTGAACGATAAAAACTATTTCGTAGAAAAACTCATAACATTTATAACGCATAAAATTTACAATTCATATCCAAAATATGAATAAAAGTATATCGATTTTATAAAGTTATCTCAAACTAAAACTTCAAATCAATGAACGAAAGTTTTCGATTATTTGAATTTAAGAATATTTCATATTTTTAATACATACATGAAAAATTTCTACACTGTCCAAATGAATTTTTCACAGACATTAATAAACTATATATGTAATTTTTTTAGGTCATATATATTCATTATTTACTTGGGATGCATATAATTTTGTCTCAGCTAGTCAAGATGGTACATCACGTTTATGGGATATTCGTCAACGTGATTGTCTTAATGTTATTGCACCTCGTCCTTCAAGTATAAACATAAATAATTGTTATCTTTTATTTCAAATGCTTGTTGTTTTTTTTTGTTCTATTTAATAGATAGTGCCGTTGCGGCTGTTGCTGTTGATAGTTCTGGACAATTATTAGCAGCTGGTTATGAAGATTCATCATGTTTACTTTATGATCTTCGTGGAAAACGTATTGTACAAGCTTATCAACCACATACAAATGAAATTCGTAGTGTTCGATTTTCTATACATTCATATTATTTACTTACAGCTTCATATGATAAAACAGTTGTCATGACAAATTTAAGTGGTAAAATAATTTGAAATATAATGTTCTTTTTTTTTGGATATAAATTTGTTTTTATAGGTGATCTGAGTAAACCACTTGTTCTATCAAATGTTGCTGCACATACTGACAAAATAATTCAAGCACGATGGTAAATATATTTAATTTGATGAATTATGTTTTTTTTTTGTACTATAGAAATTTGATTGTTTTTCTTAGGCATCCACATGAAATATCATTTGTAACGACAAGTGCTGATCGTACATGTATTGTTTGGGCTCCACCATTATCAGCTTTAGCGACTCTTGCTCAATCATCATAACTAAATCAAATTCAATTATCTTTCTTTCGTTTGTTTTTTTTTTTGGTCGATCTCATTTGCTTTTTTTTTTAATGTTTTTCTTTTTTGCTTTTGTAATTTAATTCAAACAAAATCATACTATCGATTATTGATAATAACAAACAAATAATAATTTTTGTTTTTTTTTTCATAGTATTAGTTTGTGAAGACAAAAGAAAATTTTCGAAAATAATTCGCAAATGTGCTGATATATATAAAAATTTAAGTGTTTTTTTTTTATTCAATTAATGTATATTTTTGTTTTTGGCTTTATATGAGATAAATATAATAAGAATTATTTGATTGTATTATTTTATTTTATGATAAAATAAAAATTAAAAAAAAAATAATAATCGATTAATGAAGATTAATTGTTTAATCTGTGAAAAAATTTTCATCAAATGTTTTATTTCTTAATTGTTATTTTTTGTATTATATTGAAATATTAATGCAATTTTGAAATGAGAAAACGGATTTCTTTATATATTTGCTTTTTGATAAAATAATATTTTCGAAATTAGATTTATTGCTTGAAGATAATCTAAAAATGTTTCATTATATAAATTTTACAAAACTGTTGAGAAGATACAGATCTACACTTAAGTACCTTGTATGCTTCGATCTCTTTTTGCTTGATGAGTATATTTCGAAATCGTAAAATCAGTTCTGTCAATCCGCTCCGAATCATGAAATGGCGTCACATACACTCTATAGAGATTTTCGTAATACTGCACGAACATCCCTTAGTGATCTTTGATTAATGACTTTATTATCGAAATTGTGAATTTTATCATTTGATGGTACAAAATTGGCTTTCTATATACTATACTTCTTGATAATATCAATTCTCTTGAAATAATGAAAGCGGATAATATTTAAAATTCAATTTTAATATTTGTTAATTTCAGATGGCACTTTTATTTTATCATGATTTCATGTCACAGCCCTGTCGGGCTTTATATATTTTTCTTAAAATGACTGGTATTCCATTTCAAGCAAAAGATATTGCATTAAGAAAAGGTCAACATATGACTAATGATTATGTTCAAATAAATCCATTTAAAAAAGTACCAGTTATTAATGATTCAGGTTTTATTCTTACTGAAAGGTAATCTCAAAACAAAAAAACATCAACAAAAAAAAACATTTTTTCTTAAGTGTGGCAATTTTAACATATCTTTGTGATAAGCATAAAAAACATGATTGGTATCCAACAGAATTACATAAACGAGCACGTATTAACGAATATACACATTGGCAACATGCAAATTTACGTGCAAATGGTTCAATGCTTTTTCAAACAAAAGTAAAAAAAAAACAATAAAAATTATTCATTATATAACAACTCACGACGTTTATTGCTTGTTTTTTTTTAGGTGATTATACCACATATTAAAAAAAAACCACCAACAGATCGTGAATTAGAAAAATGGTATAAACGATGGGAAGAATCAACCGATGGTCTTGAAAATGTTTGGCTCAATCGATCATCTTATTTAGCTGGTAATCATATAACTATTGCTGATTTACTTGGTAAAATTCTATTTATTATTATGATTAAATTATATAAATTAGAAATTATATTTGAATAGGTATTTGTGAAATGATGCAACCAATAGCTGCTGGTTATAATTTGGATACAAATAAATTTCCTCGTGTTCAAGATTGGATGGAACGAATTAAGAAAGAAACTCAACCACATTTCGATGAAGCACATATTATTTCAATGCGTTTGAGAGAAAAAATTTTACAAGAAGAAAAACAAAAGATTTATTAATAATAAATTTCATATCTATTGATATTCTTTTTTTCTTTCTTTACTTCATTCTGCTGCAATAGAAAAGTCTTTTCTTTTTACTAAACTTTATAATGAATAAAATAGAGATGATCAATTTCAAAGAAGTTCATTTACAAAAAAAAAATATTATAATTGTGTATTGAACAAAATTGTTTAATATAAGTTTCTATTAAATATAATTGTGATGAGAGACTCGAGGAAATGATCTCATAATCGAGAAAACTTTTATCATTCATCGATTTCCAAAAACTCACATAAATCTAGTCAACTGTAGAAAAATCTTCTGGTTGAAACATTCTGGAATTAGGAAATTTACATTTATAATAAATGATGTATTCATACAATATTGTACTGTAATGGTCATCATCTTTTCCATGTTGAAACTTGTATATTCTTATTTGCTAAATCTTAAAAACAATATTTTTCAAACAAAAAGAAAAAAAACCAGTATTTATAATTTTTAAATCTATGATAATTTTTAGTTTCATCATTAACAATTTACATGATTTGAAAAAAAAAAAGAATATCTTCAATTGTCTAATATTTAATATTTCAAATACCGATGAAAACTTATCAAATGGATGAAATTGATTACTTTGTACTCTTAAAGATCAATAGTAAATTCTATAATTATACAGGCCTTTTAATGATATGCATGGCTTTTGTATTCGTTATTTTTCAATACTTTTTAGTTGACACATCTTCTCTTTTCTCTCACTCATCTTGTTTATACGATAGATCGACAGGCGATAGACATAATTACAATTTGATTCGTTCGATAGTTATATTTAGTATATATGGAAGCATTTATATATATATGTCCAATGTTAGAAAGAGACATAAATATTAATTGTTGGCGAACATATGTCATAACGGAAAAGTTTTTTTTTTTTTTTTTTGAAAAAAAAATCTTCAAGGCTTGATTGATGATTATTAACATTAGAAAAGATTGTACATTTGCATAATCAGAAGCCACTAAAAGCTTATCGTTTTCTTTCTCGAGAAGGGATGTTTTTTTTTTTTTTCTTATTTGGAACGAATAAGAATTCTCTAACAATCTAACCAATGAAAAATTGATCCGTTCTGTAGATTTTTCTATGACGAGAGAAGAAAAACAAGAAAAAAAAAAAAAAAAGAAAGAACATTCTACAAATTAAAGAAAAAAAGGTGCGTAGGAGAAAGCAACAAAAAAAAAGAAAGAACAAATCAAATTATCTATCGAAAAGAACGATTCACATATACATACATACATACAGACAGTCAGACAAACATATATAGTCCAAAGAGCCTAACACATCAACAAGAAAAAAAATATTTGATTAATTGTTCGAACGGAAAATATAATCATATATATATTTTTCTTTTTTACTTTCTCATCATACAAATATTAAAAACTAATAATATATTAGTTAAAAGGAAAAGACAAGACAATAATTTGATTTGTGGTGAGTAGGTTTATCATTATTTTGAGATTATTCAAAAACAATTTTGTTTTTTTTTTTTTCTTTTAATATTCTAAGTATGTTATTACCACCTTGTTGGACATTATCATCAACATCTATTGAAAATTCATCATCATTTAATGATATTATGTTATCAACAGCAACAACATCGAATCAACATCAACCAAATTTTTGGTTTACTGGTAATCATTTACCATCATTTTTTTCATCACCATCATCAACAACAATAGGAAATGGTGGTGGTAGTGGAGGAATAGATAAATATTCTTATATACCACAAACAACAACAAATAAAATTTTATTTGATACAAATCCATGTAGTTCAAATTCAACAAGTTCACCACCATTATCAAATGATTTTTTATTAACACGTTCAAATCCAACAGCAACATTAAATTTAACACAATTTAATTATATTCAACAAAATCATCATCATTTATCATCACATAATTTTCTTCCACGAGATGATTGGTCACAAATACCAATGACACAAACAACAAATTCTTCAACTTCTGCTATATGGGCAAAGGGTAAGAGAAACAAAAAGAAAAAAACAAATGTTTCTCTCTTTCTCTCTCTCTCTCTCTTACATCAAAATCATTTATATGCCATCCTATTCTAATATAAAAATAGAAGAGAATGAGGTTGCTCAATACCTCATATATATATATATATATACATTCATCCATCCATCTATTCATATTCTATGTCTTAATGGTTATTCGATGATTGGAAGGATGATTTATAATATTTGTCGCCGGCACATTACATCTGCTTAAGCTCGTTTTTTATGCAATACAAAAAAAATCATGACAATATATTTCCGTTTTTTCATCAAGTGACACTTTCAGCTTCATCTATCAAGTAACATTTGAATGAATATAGACATCCTATGATTTCCTTTGACCACCCAGAGAGAGAGAGAGAGAGAGAGAGAGGACAATTTGTCATTTTAAAATAGTACCAGTACGAATGACCTCTGTTATTTTCCTTGGGCTTTTTTTTTGCGTGACGCTTATATACATATCATTCTTATTGCTCAATTGATTTGTTGACACATTATTATTGGTTAAACTTCGATTTCTTCCCTATTAAACACCTTATATATATGATACACATATGTATAAGTGTCGTTTTAATGAGATCAACACATATTTAATGAGTAACAAATGACAAGTTTCTTTTTTTTTGCGTACGAATCAATAAGACATAATATTCGTGATCGGAAGAGCGAAAAAAAAAAACAAAACAAAAATAAGATAAATTAATTGAAACGAGTCTAGAAGGTGAAAGCAATGAGCCGAAACATCTTGTGAGAAAAAAAAAAAAAAAACAAGTACGCATACAAATCATATTGTGTCATATTGAGAATATGTCGGCTTTATTCTTAAAAGAGAATTTATCTTTCAATAGATATTCGTCAATGAACCATCATAGCATATAAAAAAAGAAGAATTGATCTACTTGTTCGAATACATCATTAGATTTATTAAAAAATACGCTTCATTGCATGTCTATATAATATATTCGATACAAAAATAATTTAATATTATCGAAGGTAAATGACTATTATATAGCGCGACATATACACCATTAAAATAAAGGAGAAAAATGCACGACATCATTTTAATTCGTAAGGTATATTTATACACTAAATAAATAGCAAAAGTGCAAAAAAGAAACAACAAGGATACTATATGAATATAATCTATGATGATAAAAAAAAAAAAGAAACTTCTCCACTATTATAATATCTAATTGATAATCATATATATATATATATGATGATCGATTGAAAAATGATTTTGCCGGTATACCATGAAATTGTCATCAAACACATATACTCAAAAGTGCATCCACTCGAAAAGTAAGATCGATGTTTATGAATGCACATATGAGAGACAATGCCATCATCAATGTGTAAATGTGCACATGTCATTCTTTTGACTTTTTTTTTTTGATCTTATTCTCAAGTATGTTTACAGTATACATATGTATTGAGAGAGAGAAAGAAAGATATTAATAAAGCGTAAATTCTGATTGCTCTTTTTTTTGTTTTTATAATAAACAAATAATTTCTGATTGATAAATTTTTAGGTGGTGTTCCAATTGATAATTCTCAAATAACACATTATTCTGATATTGTTAATGGTAATGAATCAATAAAAGATGTTAAACGTAAAAGTAGTCGACCAACATTTACTGGTCATCAAATATTTGCATTAGAAAAAATGTTTGAAAATACAAAATATTTAGCTGGAACAGAACGTTCAAGACTTGCATCACAATTAGCTATGAGTGAAGCACAAGTTAAAGTAAAAAAAAAAGATCGTTTTTTTTTTGTTTCTTTTGTATTGAAAAAAAAAACAAATATTAGAAAGTAAATTTTGTTTTCTTTTTTTTGTAGGTTTGGTTTCAAAATAGGTAGGATTATATTCAAATTGATTTTTTTTTATTATTGAATATTTTTATAGACGTACAAAATGGCGAAAAAAACATGCTGCTGAAATTCATGGAAGTGGAACTGGTAGTAAAAAAACAAAACAACGAAATGATGGATCAATACCTAATATTGAATCGGATTCGAGTTTAACTTAAATTGTTCATTAATATGTGTTTTTTTTTTGATTTTTAGTGTTTAAGCTATATGTGAACAAAAGAAAAAGAGATTTATTCTGTACATTTTCTATCTCATTCGCGAAATTAAAATTGTTTTTTTTTTTTTTTTCTTTTTTTGTATGTGCTTGTTTTATATCATTATTTGAATATGCTAGAAAAAACGAAAAAGATTGTTTCAATTTAAAATTAAACAAATATATCAAGCAGAAATATTACATATTGTATCGGAAGTTGAATAAATAAATATTTTGTATTATATTTAATATAGAAATGAATAGTTTATCTAATAAAGAATAGATTGATTAGTTATCGAACATTTATTATACATAGACAAAGTTTAAATATAATTAAACTATTTGATAATTTTTCTATAGTGAAATATCTAATTTTGAATTATATGTTGACTGATGTTCGCTTTTTTTTAATATTCATAATGTATATCTTAATCGTAATCGTTGATATATTATTTGGATTAAGGTGAATTATTAGGTTGATTGGTTCTGATCAACCAATCATTGATTATTAAGATAAGTTAACGCTTATCATCTCTCTTTTCAATTTGATGAATGATGAACGAACTCGAAAGGAGTTGAAATAGGGTAAGACTGATTCGAAAGGTAAACTTTTGTACAAAGGTTTTAATCGATTACAACATTTATATAATGTTATATTAATGTTCAAAACTTTTAATTTCTCATTAAAAGAAAATAATCTCAATATTATAATATAGATGTTGTAATCGTGACCAGATGTTTATATAGGTATGTTAGTTTATTTGTTAAAAACATTCGAAGAATAGTATTTAGTATCCATAGTAGGACATATTATAAATTTAATATAGAAATCTTTTTATTTTGTTTAGTTATTTGAGTATCTTTTTAATCTAATCGATCAAAAATTGACGACACTTCTAATATAATTATTTTAAAATCCTTATATAAACTAGAAACAAAATTGAAATTAAGATATAACTAGAATTGGAATATCAGAACTATTTTTATTCGATAATATTTTTTTTTAGTTGTTATTTTTGGTAATACTTGACATGTCTCAGTAATTTAGTCTATTCATTGATTTTTGTACAATTACATCGCTTGAAATAACGTTTTGTTAAACAAAAAATTCCTATTTTTTGTTTTTTAATATGTACATTATTTTGTAGGATACTTTTACAATACTTATCAATAAGATCACAATGACTAAATTTTTCTGTTTTTTTTTTTATTCTACTTGTAGTAAAAAAAAAACATGTGATTGTATGACTTTATCTCTAGTTAGATCTTAATCTTTGTCCAATCAATACAAAATTGGTACGAAGTACGTTGCATGAATTAAAATGATCAAATATTTTTTTTTTTTATACGTTAATTAATGAATAGAAATTATTAACAAGTAGTCGAAAAATTAGTTTATACAATAGTCAAAAAAAATTTTCAGAGTCGAAGTCAAAGAGTTTGATTTCGTAGGATTTAAATCTTAGTATGAATAGTAAACATAATATATCCACCATTTGCTAATAAACTCTTATAATATTAAATGTGTTTATAGAATCATTTTTTTGTGCTTTTATTTTTCAAGAATAATTTATACATTCTATGTTATAATTGTATAAAGCTATTAATAATTTTTACTAATTACTGTCCGTTTCTAAATATAGTGCGCGCCACTGTTTTTTAAATAACTCAAGAACGCAACGAGCTAGAGACCTGCGGTTTTCATCAATCAATAGATGACATAGGGGACGTCTTTTTCTCAAATAATGTATCAGGCGAAATCCTTTTAAAACTACTCATCTTTCAAAAACATGGAAAAGAATGCATGAAAATGACCTGCCATCTAGATGGAATTTTCATTTTGACCTTTGATTTAGATAGAGGAACTTGAGATCTATAGTTTAAGATACAATGCACTTTCTTACTTTTCCTTATGTTTTCATCGAAATGTTCCGCTACTATGATAAAAATGCAAAAAACATAGTACAAAAATCAGTAAAATTCCCTATTATTTGCACATGTAAATACATGGTTCCATTTGGTCAACGTTAGAATGCAATAAGAAAAGTATTTGCATCGTATCTTGAACTGTAGATTTGAAGTTCCTCTATCTAAATCAAAGGTCAAACTGGAAATTTCATCTGGATGGCAGGTCATATTCATGCATTCTTTTACAAGTTTATCAAGGATGAGTAGTTTTAAAAGAATTTCGCTTGGCACATTAAGTGAGAAAAAGACGTCCCCCTGTCTCATCTATCGATTGGTGAAAACCGCAGGTGTCTGGCTCGTTGCGTTCTTGAGTTATTTAAAAAATAGTGGCGCACACTATATTTTGAAATGGATAGTAGTAAATATTATTTTATTAATTAAAATTTGAATAAAACTAATCATTTAATATATGTTAAAAATTTTTTTTGAAATCTTTTAGATAGCAATATTTAAATTTAAATGAATAATTGTATTCATTTTTGTCTTTTTTTATTATTTTTTTTTCCGGAAACAAAAAACAAAAGTTTTGTTCTACAATATTTGAGATTATTTTAATAGAAATGTTTTTATAAAAATCAAACACAAAACAATATTATTATACATTTATATCTTATTCATTTTTTAATAATAATTGAAATTGTTCTTGAGCTTCTTTTATTCGTTTGATCTTTTCTTGTTTTGTTAAAATAGGCATTGCTCGACGATTAAGAATAAATGTTATAATACTAAATAATATTTCAATTGTAATTAATGTTAAACCAATAGCTGAAAGTAAAATTTCTATACGTTGTGTATGTGATTGTAAAACAAGAAAGAATATAAAACCAATAGCAGAAAAAAATCCATATAAAATAAAAATAATTATAAGAGTATTGTTTAACATTAAATTTCCTTTGATACCAAAATATTGTCGAAGAAATTCATTTAAACATAACATAAATATCATTGTCATTTCAATACCAAATGCACTTGTTCCATATGGTATATTATAATATTTAAAAATAAATAAAGGAATTTCAAGAATAAACCAAAATATTGTATAATAAATGTTTATACGTAAAAGAATCTGAAGAACAGTACTGGATTGATCGGAAACAGTGAGAAACATTGAACTTTTTGTTTTTTTTCTTTCTAAAATATAATTATATATTCATTGTATAAAAATGATAATAATATCAATTCATAATATTGTCAAAAGCAATGTAACTATTATTATTAATCATAGAAAGATTGTTTTATTCATCATTATTCTCTAGAAATCATATATAAATAATATCTGTATTTAACATATTATGAGTTAATGAATATATTCTAGTCAAGTTCATTGGAACTGAAAATGAAAGAAATAATTTCATCGGTTTCTAAATAAATAAGGTGAAGAGAGGGAATACAAAATTTCAGTAGACTTTTGTTTTTAATTTGTTTATACATGATTTCATAGAGCCCTGCAGGTTGGTTACGAAGGTATACATTGCATCGTAATAGGATCTCTCTCATTACAAAAAAAACCCAAGAAATCGATAAGGTCAGATGTATGACTAAAAGTTTTTTTTTTTTTTTTTGAGTTTTCTAATTTAATATGAAAACAACTGAGTAGAAAAATATTGTTTGATTAGAATATTGCATTTATTGAAAAAAAAAATAAAACCAAATGTATTATCTTATTAGAATCATTAGATTTTGAACTACAAAAGTACGTATTTATTTATTTATTTTTTGATATTTTGTTTTATTTTAGAAACATTGAACATTTTGTTAATCTTTTGACAAAAGGATAAAAATGATTTTGCATTCATCAGTTTTTGTTTTCATAGTTTAATCAAAAAGCAAAATGAATAATAAATTCATTAACACGATGCTAGGAACCATAGAATAAAGTTTTACACTTAAGTTTAAAAACAAAACAAAACGAAACAATATCCAGTTTTCTCAACGATGAAAAAAATCAAATAAATAATTTTGTAGTTCGAAATTTGATGATTTAAAAAAAAATCCCTAAAAAACACATGTTCTAATGTTATCTATTATGAATAAAATTTTATACTTTATTAATCTCAAATTTAATTGAATAGATACTTTTTTTTTTGTAATTTCTAAATCAATTAAGAATAAAATCTTTTGAAATTTTATGTTCTACATATCTTACATGAATTTTAATTTATACTCATTGAAAAATTTTAGAGATTGTAGTAATCTTCAATTCTACTTACGTATAGAATTTCAAATCAGAAAATCTTCTTTTTTTGAAATAAACTAAATAACTAGAACTACCATTATAAATTATTCTTCCAAGGTAATGCCTCTTTCGATAAGGATGTTGTAGAACGCCATCTAGTTTGTTCGACTTCTTCTAATTTGTTTGTTTTTTTTTTGATTTGTTCAGTCAGATGATCAGTATATATTGGAAGCAAGAAAATAATCACTTATATTATATTAATTTAAATTCTTATTCTATATTTATATTATGATTGTTTCCAAAGAAAAAAAAAACAATTCAATGGCAAAATTTAAATATAGAATTAGAAATTAGGAATCATTCAAAAGTGATTTAGTTTTCATTATTTTTCTTGAGTTAGTATTATTTATTTCTTATTGTTTGTATTTTGTTTGTCTTATATTAAACAATAATTTAATATTAGGGAAAACTTTTTTTGTTTTCTCCTAATCAATGATCAAAATGATTACTGTAAGTAAACTATATGTGCGCAAATTTATGATGATTAATTTGCTGATGAATTTCACACATGATTCAAATGAGTAATAATTTCTTTTATCTTTTCTAATTGTATGCACGAATAGGGTGGGGCGGAAATTTCTTTTCTACGACATAAGTCAAATAGTTTACTAACCTACGTAGAGACTTTGCTTTTATACGCTTACATGTAATTAAATTCTTATATTCATGATTATGAAAAATCTATTTCTGGTCTTGTTCACATGAAATTCCAGATTCAAGAAAAAAAAAGAAACATTCTATCATTTTCAGCGATGAATAAAATTTGTTTGTTTGTATCACGTCGTAATTATGCAACAGCATCAACATTTCGTGCTGCTGATACAATAATAAAGAAGATTGAACATGGCAATCCTAAGCCAGATCCGGATAAACTTCTTTTTGGTGCAAATTTTTCGGATCATATGTTAACAATAAAACATACAAATACATCTGGTTGGGAAAAACCTGTAATTGAACCATTAAAGGCTCTTTCCATTCATCCTGCTGCAAAAGTTTTACATTATGCCACAGAAGTAAATTGTTCTTATTCATGACAATAAAATTTTTATTGTTTGTTTTTTAAGATTTTCGAAGGCTTAAAAGCTTATCGTGGTAATGATGGAAAAATACGTCTTTTTCGACCTGATTTAAATATGAAACGAATGCTCACATCAGCTGAACGAAGTGTTTTACCAGTATGAATTCATATTGAAAATATTCATTTGATATAATCTATGAAAAAAAAGACTTCGCGACAAATTTTCCTATCGATATATATTTGCAAGTATTTGAGCAATTTTAATAAATAAATTTTTCTTTGTAAATTGTCGAACTTTTCACGCTGCATCTTGAGGTACATATTATTTTTTTAAAATAAAATCTATTAGGTAATGAAAAGATGAAATACATTATTCATGTAGAAAAAAAATGACCTTTTTACAGCGTCGCACAGAATTTTGCTTTTTTCTTTTTTGAAGTGCACAACTAAAATGAGCTTTACTTTGTAAATTGAAAAGCTTGTCACAATAGCATCTTCTGACATATCTTATTTTTTAATGCAACGTATTAAGTGATGAAAAACTGAAATGCAAAATGCGACCGTTTAATATGTGACACCCGCTAGTTTTTTGAGAGCCAAAAACACATATAACAAACATCTTTTATTGACGCACTCACTTCTTCAGTCAAGTAGTTGCAAAAATATATCGATAAGAATATATTGTCGCGAACTTTTTTCCATACTTTATTATATATATATATATACATATATTTGTAGACATTCGATGGAAATGAATTAATAGAATGTATAAAAAAATTAATTCAAGTTGATGTTGATTGGGTACCAAGATCGACTACAAGCACACTTTATATTCGACCAACATTAATTGGTACTGAAGTATGTTTTAAAATTTTTCTTTTTTTGTAAAATTCAAAAAACACAAAAGAAAATTTTGTCTTCTAGCCAACATTAGGTGTTGGAGCTCCACATGAATCATTATTATTTGTCGTTACTGGTCCTGTTGGTCCTTATTTTCCAACTGGTTTTAAACCAGTTTCATTATTTGCAGACACGTTCCATTGTCGAGCATTTCCTGGTGGTATGGGTGCATATAAAGCTGGCTCGTAAGAAATAAAACTTAATAGACGTTTTTTTTTTCAAAATTAATATTATTTCATAGAAATTATGGACCGACAATTTATGTTAATCAATTGGCTCATCAAAAAGGATGTCAACAAGTATTATGGCTTTATGGTGAAAAACGATATATTACAGAAGTTGGCACAATGAATGTATTTATATATTTAAAAAATAAGAAAGGAGCTAACGAATTAATTACAGCACCATTAAATGGACTTATTTTACCTGGTGTTACTCGTCAGAGTATTTTAGATCTTGGACGTTCATGGGTAAGATTATATTATATTAACTAAATTCACATGGCTACTAATTATTTGTTAAGTAAAATTACTGAACACTCGATTAATTTAATTTTTCTCAGTAATAAAAGCATTTTTTAAGTTCGATAACTAATAGACAAGTAAATTATTGAATTATTAAGTTTATTTATTAAATCTATAAAAATATAAAATAAATTAGATAAATAACACAAATCCAAAAGTACAAATAGAAAAAAATCATCATCATTTGATCAATTTAAACATCTTCAATTTGATATATGGAAAATAACTTTGTTGAACAATGCGTTATAATGGAGAAATGAAATTTGAAATTATCCAAGTTTCTTTGAAGAATATCTTTTGCAAAACACATTTACCAGCGTAGAATTTTTTCTTTCAGTGAAAATACGAGGATGATCACGAAAAGCAATAAAAGTTTTATTAATAGAATTACTGAAGAATTCGATTTTTTACTTAATAAAATTTATTTATTTTTTATCAAGACATGTGTAAAATTTCATTTAGCAAAAATTCTTTTTCTACTTAGCATTTAAATCAGAGTCAATTTAAAGAAATCTTTATTGTTTTCTTTTAGAAAGATTTAACTGTTTCGGAACGAGACATAACAATGGATGAACTTTTAGAAGCACATCAAGATAATCGAGTATAATTTTATAAAGTAGATTAGTTTTCTTTGAAATTCATTGATTATTTTAGCTTTTGGAAATGTTTGGTGCTGGTACAGCATGTATTGTTTGTCCAGTTGAACGTATTATTTATGAAGGAAAAGAATATAATTTAGCGACAATGAATAAAGGTTTATTTTGACTTATTTCATATTATAAAATTCATTTGAATTATTAATCTAGGAGCTCCATTAACAACTCGATTTCATGATGAACTTGTCAATATTCAAGTAAGAATCATTTTCTTTTTTTTTTTTAATTAGAATTCTTTTATTTGGTTTTGTTTTTGTTCAATTTAGTTTGGTCGAAAACCAAGTAAATGGACAGTAGAAGTCGCCTAAAATCTATAAATTGCATTTCATCACCAAAGACATCAATATTATTCTCTATGGGAATAGAATCTCAACCAAGATCCTGGCTAGATTGATTTTTTTTTCTCCTAATACTATTGAACATTAAAAACGTTATTTTTTTTTTTCTTGTCTCAGTATATTTGATGAAATAAAACACATAAGAATAAACCGATGGATATAGAAAATATATGTTGTTCAATAGTTGTTTTGATTTTTATTTCCAGATCATTATGCATTTTTTATTTGTATTAGTTTATATTTTTTTGAAAATTTTTCTTGTATGTTGTTCACAACCAAAACGTGTTGTTAGTCAAATGTATGTATCATTTGATCGTGCACGTTATTGTGTTCGTCGTCTTAATGGTACACATGAAATTGGTTGTCAATCATCAATACGAGGCAATTCTGGTCGAATGTATATAATTGATAATGATGAAGAATTTAATATATTTATTACAGATAATAAAATAATTGACTCATCAAGTTCATTTATTATTGTACTCAATGTAAATTTATTTGATTCAAATTATATTGATCATTTAATGAAATATCTTGATAGAAAATTAAATGGTCTTTTACTTTATTTAAAATCAAATATATCTCGTCCATTAGATTTTTCACATGATGATCAATGCCCAAATAATCGTTATCCATTTTATTTAAATCAAACAGAAAACATAAATTGGAATTTCAAAGGAACTGGTTTATTTTTTCGTTCATTTCCATTTCCAATAATGTTAATTGATGAAGAAGATGATTATAAACGTTTACTTGAATTCTATCGACAATTTAATAGTAGTCAATCATCACCGGTTTGTGGTTTAGAATTAAAAATATTTCAAAATGCAGCACATACAACAAAAACATGTATGAGAAGAAATGATATATCACATTCATTAATTGATCTTCAAGAAATGTTTTGTGATCCAATTAGTGGTTTAAATATTTATAGTAAATTACTTCAATCGATTAAAATTAAACCTAATGAACGGTCATTAAAATCAGTTATTCTTATTTTAGTAAATACAGATAGTTTTCAAATGTTTTTAAAAACAAAAGGATCAACAGGTGGTGTTCAACAACCAGCTATAGCACTTATTACATTTTTAACATTAGCACATCTTATTGGACAAGAACAAGATGAATTTAAAAAACAAGATAAAGAAATTATATTTGTAACACTTGATGGTGATGCATTAGATTATTCAGCTTCATTTAAATTTATGTTTGATATGATTAATGGATATTTTCCTATTGGTAATAAAAATGAACAACCTATTAAAATTGAACATATTCATTCAATTATTGAACTTCAATCATTAAGTATGACGAAAAAAATTTGGGTAAGTAAAATATATTTTTACGTTTCTTTATACGTATAAGCATATCGAAAATAACGAGATTTTCAAGAAAAACAAAATACAGAAACAAATTATTTTAGATTTTATTTCATTAAAGGTTCATAGTATAGTAATGACACAGTGCAAGAATTGTAAGTTGTTGTCATCAGTTAAATTCTATTGGATCAGATCGAATAACCAAAATTTACATAGTGCCAGATTTGGACTGTTTGGTGGTTGCCGAATGATTATGATACCTTTCGCTAAGAGGTATACTTATGTACATGTGATTGGATGTTGTCGTGATTAAACTTTATGACATGTGACAATCTCTCCATGATCAACCCAAAGCATTGACACAAGACCAACAGTTTTGGAAGAAAGCGATTGTATCGCACCATGCTAGACGGAGTTTCCTGAGTTGGTGTTCATGCAGTATTCGATGGTTATTCGACCAATTTTTCTTGACAAAGTCGAACCTATTCGACTTAGTGAGTATAAGTCAGCAAGTTAGGTACCCAGAAAGTAATAATCGTGTTTTAGTATCAGATAATCAGAAATGATTCGTTCACGAGGCAGCATGATTCATTTTAATTTCCAATGGCATCTTATCAATTTTTAGATGAGGATTGTCATCAATGAGACCGCGTACTTCTTCGATATTCTTAGATGAAGTTTGATCGTCGAAAATAGAATACAATTCAACATGAATTAAATTCAGTTGAGTGTTAAGTGCAGTATGCATCTTAATATAGAAACGAAAATTTTTCTTATTCATTTAAAAATAATGATTCATAGTTTTCATTGGAATTTTTTTTCATATGAAAATATTACTTGACTCATATATCTGTAATACAAACATGTAGAGGATTCTTTATAATATATATATGCAGTGCAGGTCAAAAATCTCGCAATACTTCTTCCTTTTGAATCGTATGCTTAAAATGTAAACTAATAATTTAATTCGATTATATACCTGTTTAATACGATAAAACTTTGAGTATGAAATACAATAAAAAAAAAAACTTTGATGCTAAGAAAACAATGACAGAAAAATAAATCGGAAAATTATAAGATCGTTTTAAATCATGCTGTCAAATTCAATGATGTATTTGATGGAGAGAGTGTGGTGGTGGTGGATGTGTTCCTGCTTATTAACCACATCCACACCCTCGTCTATCAGAAAATTGACTCAAGTTACTTCAAAGTTTTGTGAAAATAAGATTTACTATATAGAATTCGACGTGCTCTGAGTGGCTCTATAATATTATATATATATATGGTTTCGCAAATCTGCATAGGTCTCATAAATTGACAGGATTCTGTATAATAAGATTATTATTTTGTCCTCTTTTTTTTCTTATTATATTTCATATTTAAGGCTTTATCGTATTAAGTTAATATTGTATAGATGAAATACACAACTCGAGAAAAAAATAATGATGCGAGTACTTTTGCTGTATTTTAAGTATGATAAATTAAACTCTTTCTTTTTTTTAAATTTGATTCTAGCTTCATACACATCCATCATCATTGATTAATCAAACATTTATCGATATACTACTTCGTAATAATCCAATGATTAATCTAATTCCATCTAATTCTCCATTACCACCAGCATCTTCACAAATATTTCTTCAACAAACATCATCATCATCTTTTCCTGCTTATATATTATCATCAACAAATCAAAATCAATTCTCAAATCATTATTATCATTCATTTTTTGATGATCTATCTACAATATCAATAAATATATCTACATTAGAATATAATACTACTACAGAAATTAGTCTATGGATTAAACATATCGTTGAACCACTTGCTCAAACATTAATTGAATCATTAGTTGGTATAAAAAAAGATGTTATTATTAAACAAGAAATTATTAATAATTTAATTTATTGTATTTTAAAAAATCTTAATTGTCCTTTAATTCATAATGTTACTAATGAATCTGTTGGTAATACATTTCAACCATTTGATCATACATCTATGCCATTTTCCGTTAATACTTATCCAATATCAACAACACCTACATTTCCTTTTATAAAATATGTACTTAGTTATTTTTTACGTGATCGTTCATACGATAGACAAAATTTAACTGAAATATTATGTAAACAACGTGCATATAATGATAGTTTTGGTTCATATACATTTGTTGGTGGATATACACCATCAATAATAAATGAGAATGCATTTTCTGGTTATTGTGTTCGAACATATATACGATCTGTACAATCAATTTCACCAGCATTTGTTATTGAAAATTATGATTTATCTCAAACAACATATCCAGCATGGACTGAAAGTCGATGGACAACAATTAGTTTACGACTCTTCATTATTCCAACAAGGACACATGAAATAATTACACTTATTATTGGTATTTTACTTACTTCTATATCATTTTGTGTTCTTTTCTTTTTACGTTATTATACAAAGATTAGTCTTTTACAACCTTCATCATCATGAATGATTGATTCTCGGTGTATTCAATGTTTTTAAACTATTTTATTGTTGTGTCTATTGAATATTTTATTGTTGTGCCTATTGAAAATCTCTTTTTTTTCGACGATCAAAATATATCATTGTTTATGTATTGTGTATAATTATTATAAATAAAACTAAAAAATATTTACATTCATAAATATTATCCATCAGAACAAGATGAATCTTTGGTATATAGAGTGACATAAGGATGAATAGTTGAATTATCTAGTGGTGTTTTTCTACACATTCTATTTTCAGTTGCATGCATTGTTCCGTTTAATCTATAAAATTCTTCGATGATGATTTCATAATGTCTGGCTCAGAAGAGAATGCGTCCAAAGTTCTAATTCTATATTTCAGTATTCGTTATTAATCGTCATTCACAAAAAAATAGTATTAACATTATCATCCTCATATTTAACTGCACAACAATTAAATACAAGAAATACTTTTGTGAAAAAGTGATAACTTTGAATTAAAGGAAGATTTTCGAAAATGTTTCATTTGTAAATAAAAAGTTTGATTACTCAATCAGTTTCAGTCGTAAAAATAATTATATGAATGAATTTTCATGTGTATATATCGCCTTGTCATTCATATATTTGATGGCATCTTTTTTTGTCTCATTCATTTAATTTTAAAACTTTGGTTTTTTTTTGATTCGGTTCGTAGTTCAACAAGGTTGATTTTCGTCGCCAAATACTCTTCAGTTTTATGATTAATTTATTTTTCTGGCTCGATGAGTTTTTTGTTAGTAGCATGTTTAATAAAGTATTGCGTATTTCACAAAAGCTATAAGCCTTAAAATCCTGTTTGCTACCTCCTTTCAAATTCTCTGAATTCGCTCGTGAGCAATAGCCTACTTTTGCAGAATATATTAAATGAAGTCTGCACACTAATATAACATCCAAATCAAACGGATTCGAGTAGGAGGATACCAGCTATAGCGCATATAACAATCGCAATTTGGTAGCAAAAAGCTAGGAGTGCCCCTATCAACATATGAATTAGCAATAAATTTTTCTCGATTTCCGCATTATCTTTCTACATCAGTTCTTTATTGTTTTTATTTATAGAACAGTCGCTATCAGCTAGATACAGCGGTTAGATAGAGCGTCAGAAGATCATTCTAATACATATATTATTCTTAAAAGTGAGTTACGTTGGTGCCCAGAGAAATTCGGTTTCTAAAACTGGTTAAAAATCGAGTTTTTTCTGACACCTCCTATGCGTTAGTACTGTCGACAAAACATTCTGTCTAAGAAAATATTTGTTTTGTTGGCTAGTTGTTACCCTAAAAGGTTTACTCTTCCGTCACTTAAAATAATCAAACACGAGACATAGGATTCTTTTTTGGAAGGATCTTAAGTTAGTTTTCCAGGAGCCGCTATATCGTCATTTTAAAAATATTTGAATATTACTATTTTATTCAGGACGCCAAGATCTACTAGTCCTGAAAGTTTGAAACAATTTACATACAATCAATATAAATTGGTAAACATTTGGAAGGACCGCCCTATTTATCGAGCTTAGTTTTCGTGTTTTCAATAAGTGGAGGATCTTCTTTGGCCATTTTCACACGTGCCATCGCTGTCATCATCCAGTTGAGCGAATCGATGATCTAAATGCAGGAAAAAAGTATATCCAGCGATAAAAACCACCTTTTCACTCACTAATTCAAGACGCCTATCCATGAATTCGACGCGTTTCTCTAGATTGGTGACAGTCGACTCCACTGAAAATAGTTTATCACTAGTCTCAATGTAATTTTGTGTGCGTTCATCTCTGAATTGATCTATGTCAGAGTTGAATTGTTTCGATTGATCGTTTGTTGTGGAGAACGGTTGAGATCTACAAAAAACAATCAAATAGATGACAAAAGATTGATCTTGTTACTAATGATATATCTTCTTCAGATGTCCAGAGATAGTTCTATTTAACAGTGAAATACTTACTTACGTTCTTCCGAGCACTAGCAACTTTAATTTTAATGTGATGTTGACATGAGA